AAATGCTAAGGCATGGATCTGATTATTACGTGAAAGAACCATGGGGACTTCTCATGAATGTGATGGATTTACAAAAAAATATATATGTGTTTTAGATTCTGATAACATTTATGCCGAAATTACAAGTATGCCATTTGTGTACATAGAAAAATATTTCTCAGAAGAAAAAATAAAAACCACTGCTTTAAGATAAATCAAGAATATTTTTTGTAGTGAAAAAAAAAAAAAATAGAAAAAGAAAGAATTTTCTAATTTTCTGCTTGAAATCTAAAAAAAAAGCTTGTTTTTCAATTTTTCAGTTTTAAATAAATAAACGAGTCTACCAGATAATGATCTTACTGCTTTATTCTAGAAGATAGATTACTGGCTGGTAGACTCGTTTTTTATTTTTAAACAGAAAAATTAAAAAGACAAGCTTTTTTTTAAAACTTTAAGCAGAGAAATAAGAAATTCCTTTCTTTTTTATTTTTCGTCATTGCAGAAAATATTTTTGATTTATTTTAAAGTAGTGGTTTTTATTATTTTTCAAAAAACATTTTTTTGAGTACGAAAATGGCATACTTGTAATTTCGGCATACCTGTTAGTATTTCTATTATTTTTGAAATGCTTTTTTTTTGTAAGTCTATCATAATGATCATAAAGGCCTGAGGCACACAATTCTTCCCATAGTTTTTTTTCATTGCTCTAGCTACTTTTTTTTTTTTAGAGATATAAGTGCCTACATTGTGGTGTATGGTTGCAATGGTTGCTATGGTTGCTATGATGCTATGATGCTATGATTGCTATACTCTATTTGGCTTCGGGCTCACAAGTCAACTACACCCTTCTCTTGGATAAATTTTAGCAGACTCTAATCAAGCAAGCGTCAGATGAAAATTTAATTTATAAAGCAACTGTCAGCCGTCGACGACGTCTTCACTTCCCAAATGACAACTCCAGTAATTTGAACTCGTTCTTGAATCCTTTTGATTATCAATTTTTTGACCAGATTTAACCTTACAGAATGAACACAATAACCATAGACGCCATAGACGCCATAGCAACCGCCATAACAACCACCATAGGGATCATAGTAACCATAAACAACAGTATAAGCGTTTACATTTCTCCATTAGTGAAATAAACCTTCCGTATTCGAATAAAGATTTGGTCAAAATTTTCCATCTCCAAATGCATAATTCTTCCACTTTTGATGAAAAACTTTTTCTATCGCTTACGCTGTAGCAATATCTCTACAAAAAAGTAGCTAATGTGATAAACACTACAATTAAAAAGACAAAATAAAGTCAATCAGAACCGAAAACGGCCAAAAGAAAGTTGTTCTTTATTACACTCTGTTGTTTCTCTCTATCTATATAAAATATAGCATCCCTTGAAGGAAATGAATATCTTTTCATGAATTCCATTGAATGTAATCGTTGGTGTCCTTAAGGATGAGGGGCGCATAAATCCCCTACTGTTTATTTTGTAGCGATAATTAGTCTGACGGTAAATAAAGAGACTGCATAATTTAGAGTACAGATTCACGGTTCAGTGTCAACTTCACTCCTGAATACTCCTGCAGCCCATTACGGTGCAAAGTCACTCTAAATCATAGTCATGTAGATAGCCGTGTATACAACAGCTAGAGCAATGAAAAAAAACTATGGGAAGAATTGTGTGCCTCAGGCCTTTATGATCATTATGATAGACTTACAAAAAAAAAGCATTTCAAAAATAATAGAAATACTAACAGGTATGCCGAAATTACAAGTATGCCATTTTCGTACTCAAAAAAATGTTTTTTGAAAAATAATAAAAACCACTACTTTAAAATAAATCAAAAATATTTTCTGCAATGACGAAAAATAAAAAAGAAAGGAATTTCTTATTTCTCTGCTTAAAGTTTTAAAAAAAAGCTTGTCTTTTTAATTTTTCTGTTTAAAAATAAAAAACGAGTCTACCAGCCAGTAATCTATCTTCTAGAATAAAGCAGTAAGATCATTATCTGGTAGACTCGTTTATTTATTTAAAACTGAAAAATTGAAAAACAAGCTTTTTTTTTAGATTTCAAGCAGAAAATTAGAAAATTCTTTCTTTTTCTATTTTTTTTTTTTTTCACTACAAAAAATATTCTTGATTTATCTTAAAGCAGTGGTTTTTATTTTTTCTTCTGAGAAATATTTTTCTATGTACACAAATGGCATACTTGTAATTTCGGCATAAATGTTATCAGAATCTAAAACACATATATATTTTTTTGTAAATCCATCACATTCATGAGAGGTTTTTAACATCTACGGCTATTAACGTAATTATTCATGGCTCTAGCTTTATTTTCTGTATATACATCACAAATTTTAATGGCTTCCTGACTTTCCATATCTTTGATCTATGTTGGCGTTGGCCATACACGCCTCATTGTTGATGAGTCACACAAGTAGTCCTAATTCATGAGAAGGGCAGCCCGACTGATCTAGTCAATTACTACTTAATTACTCGGATTACTACTTTCAAAGAAATGCTCAAAAAATGCATCAAGGGACTTCTCCAAGGCCAAACATCGCCCTTAGACACTGCTCAAGGTAGTTTTAGAGAATGCAAAAATGTTCTTGACCAAGCTCATAAAAACACTCAAGACTGTCCGCTCTGTACTTTATTGGAGTACCAAATGGACCTCTATAGGTTTGCTTTTATCCCAAATCACCTTTATGTAACGTGCTGTCACAAACAATCTACTCCTTCTAACATTCAATCAAATGTTTCCATTTCTCCTATAGTTATAAACCTACGCCCAGACACACCATTAGATCAACACTCTCCTTTCTATTCCTTTCTTGCCCTCTTAAGGTATTTTTAGCTTAGTATAGCAATTCTAATGAACTGACCGAGTCCGAGCAGTCAAAGGCCACATCGGGTCATGTGTTCAAAAGAATCTTTTCTATAAAGCTAATAAATCAACAGATTTTGAGTACGGATTTGACGAAATTAATACCAATGCGCAAGTATATTTTTGTCAACAGAAAAGCATTTCTGGAAAATAATTACTTGTAGATCAAAAACACACCCTTACCACAGCGTAAGTAATTGCATCTTTCTTCCATCGATGGAAGCGACCTTCTACATTTGAGTAAAAAGTTAGCTAAAATTTTCTATTTCTGCATTCAATGGAAGATTTCTTCCATCACTTATGCTATAGTACTTTTAGAAGAATCAGATTAAATAAAGAAATGAAAATGTTGTCAAAAACATTGATATAAAATTTGTATAAAATTTGTATAAAATTTGTATAAAATTTGTATAAAATTTGTAAAAAACTAAAAAAAAAAAAAAAAAAAAAAAAAAAAAAAAAAAAAAAAAAAAAAAAAAAAAAAAAAAATTCTGAAGTCCGTTGCTAAGGAGTAAACTAATTTCGAAAATCCAAAACACACACATTTTTTTTATTATTTTACTCATCCATGTTCATCTTTGCTATTTCTTGCTAGCTTATCAATGTCGAAATAAGAGCGAGCAAATTAAAATCAAACAAAGAATGCGGTTTATTGAGTCAAATATAGGCTCATTTATAGATAATTGCTTATATCAGGGTGCAGCATGATTTGTAGAGGCCTTTATTCCATACAGAAATCTTGAATAGTAAAAATTAATCCAGATAACTCACTGATTACTACTGTACAAGAATCTACATTAGATAAGCCAATCAATATACAAACAGCTCGGTGTAATTGACAGGTTGATATCTAATATTTCTATTTATTTTGAGGCATTTTATCAATAAGACAATGACTGCATAATTAGACGTACATCATTTATTGTCTATTGAAGTAATTGTATTAAACCATGCAAATGACATTATAGCTTTTGAACTGGTTGCATCTTAACTATAGATAAAGCGAGTGATTGAATCAGAGCTGTAAATATATGGTAATGTATAGCCATTTGAACCAGATTTAATGCATCATAAAATTTTCCAATAGTTTGACACTTTTATGAGCAAACATTCTTTTTATTTTTATTTAAGTGAAGTAAGTGTTTTTCTTTTATCAAGGTATTCTATTCAAATAAGCTACTTGATGGTACATATCTTATGCATATAATAAAGATCTTAGTCAAATAAACGTTCTAACAGTAAAAAAAAAAAAAAAAACGCGACAATTCATATAAATTTTGTTCTTTTTAATAGATATATAAAGATAGTACAGTGCTTCCACCCTCACTTGGATACTTTTTTGAAAACATTGGCCGGTTTTTAAAAAACAATTGGTCATTTTTTTGAACTCAATTGGTCATTTGTTTGGACTTCAATTGGTCAATTTTTTTGAATCCATGATGTTCCTCAAAAAGTTTCAATTTTAAAGATGGTGTCCCGCGGTGGCTCTCATCATTATCATTATCGCTAGTAGTAAATTGTTTGATTTAAATTGTATACATTTATGGAACTAAACTATGTCTTTCATTTAGCGAAAAGCAAGTATTTAGTGAAGAAAAGCCATATCCTGTTGGCAAGTCATTTGGAGGCATGTTTATCCCTTCTGAAGAATTTAAAAGCACAAACCCATACTCAGCATAACTTGGACAATACTTTTCTCCTCCTGAAAGCAAAGATGATCCTCTCTTGATTCCCCAGATATGGGATCATTTTAAGAGTAAAAGAATATATACAGCTAATTCGATAAATTTTCTATTTTTGGTCTTCAGTTTTCTTGTGACTGTGATTCCACTCAATTCCACTCAATTCCACTCAATTCCACTCCCATTCCACTTCAATTCCACTCGATTCAACTCCTGTTGATCAGTGCAAAAGTTTAACTTTGATTATGCCAACAACACCGAACGGCGTTGAATAAGCAGATATCAACACACCCGCTCCATATATGTCATTGTTGAATTAAACAAATGGTTATCATAAGTTTTATTTCATAGTGATGAGGATATAAAGTGTACAAATATATGTGTGCATATCAACTAAAAGCGATATGCATGTACATGATGATGATGGTGGTGGTGTATAACGAATAACTCAGGAGAATATTTTGGATAATCTTTCTTTTACCACTTGATTTGCAGCAGCTAATGAAGAGTTCATTGTTTTAGCAATTGATTGAAGGTGTTTATCCAGATCTTTGTTACCAATTATGCTGATACGTTCATTTTGACCAAAGAGTTTTAGTATTTCTTTTACAGTAGTTGCAAGTTCCCCTCCATCATCTTGATAGTTTTCCAGCGCTTTCTTTTCAATAAAAGAATCGACATTATTTTTAATTGAATCATGGACATTTGATGCAATTTTTTGAAATATCAGAGAGCCATGCTTAGCTTGTGAATCCATTGTTTATGCCGAGTCATAGTCATAAAGAGTCCAAATAGTATAAGGTTGATAGAGATGGCCGAGTGTGAATGTCGAGCTAGATCTACAAGTGAAATAGGTTTCTATTCTGTAAAATTTTGACCTGACTTGTTTGCATTGATTTAGAGTGTCATGAGGGTATAGTTGAGAGCAACCCTTATCATTGAATAGCTTCTCTGCCGCTTCTATGGATTTTTCATGGAGGAATATTTTGGTGTAATTTGATGGTGTTGTGATGATATGACATTAAATAAGTCTTCATTTACATACTAAAATATATCATAATCAATTTACATCAGAAAGAGACATAAAAGAGCCTCTTGTACTGAATGAGTCAATGTATCTTTTAATAGATGTGATGATCTGACATTAAATAAGTCTTCAATTACATACTAAAATATATCATAATCAATTTACATCAGAAATAGTCATAAAAGAACCTTTTGTACTGAATAAGACAATGTATCTTTTAATAGATCAAGACTTATAACCGAAATCCATAATTTACATTATTTAGTTAATTTAAAGTAGTCTATGATAATAAAGACTCAGTCATTTGCATGAACTCTACTACTACTTACTCCGACATCTCTTCATGTATAAATATGCTAGAGTAATTTATAGTAAAAAAGAACAATAAAATTGTATAAAACAGTCTCAAAGTATCTACCTTTGTCTCTACATTATCTTATTCTATAACTCTCTATTATCAAAACATCACAGGTGTAAAACTATTGGTTGATGGGCCGACACAAATGACTGGGTTGTTTGAAAGTGTACAGCTGGATGTGACAAGTAGATTACAACTAAAGAGTCCAATTACAAGCTTGTCTGAGTTATCAGATTCAAAGAGTTTGACACAGACTTGCTTGTGATAACAGTTCGAATCTGGAATAGATGAATTGCAATCATCCTTTGAATATCTTTCGTAATGGGGATCAATCCGCTTTTTTCTTCCATAAGGTTCAACACAGTTGATTAAAATAGCTTTTGTCCCATCCAAGAGTATACATCCAGCAAACATTTGAGATACAGCATATCTTGCTTCTTGGTTTGTTGGCCAATCAGAGTCTGCTTTCTTCAAATGAAGATCGTTCAATTCATGATAAGTTTCATTCTTTAACAATGATGCCATCGAACTGTTTTTCATCAAAAAGGTGAGCAATACGTCGTTAGTCTCATGATGCTTTGGTGGATGACTGAGATCAGGTGGAATAGAGAAGATAACTTTTGGTTGCTTTTCATAGATTTCTTGCACTTGATTTGGACTTCCAAGGAGATAATATGACTGTTGTTTTGATAGCAATCCAATAGGTGTCAGGTTTGTGATTTCAGTGAGAACCAAGGTTTTTTGTTGGTCTTGTATGGTATACTCTAACCCACCAGCAGCCGCAAGTGTTGCAATAGGCTTTGTAAGAGTCTTTATTTCGTTCGATGTATTTTGGGCAGTTTTGATGTCACTTTCACTAAACGTTTTTGGTAACTTGGTTTTTGGTGGCAAACAAGCATCCTTCTTAACCCTTTTTTCTTTTCTACCCCGCGGTGATCTGTTGTGTCCAACTACATGTCTATTGAAGGTTGAAGTTGTCTTTAAAGTCTGATTGCATTTCGGACAAATGAAACCACTCTCAGTTTTATCCGTCGTGTATGAGGCTAAAAATTAAGTTTCAGAAAAAAAAAGTGAATATGCATTCAAGAGTCTTACTGTTTTGAATTGTAACTGTAATTTGTAAAGTATGATGATCATATTTATGTTTGTTGAGCTGCGCTTGTGTTCTGAAAGTTCCTGTGCAATTGAGTTCGACACAAGAAAAAGACATTTTGCGCACAATCCCTTTCTCCAAGCTCTGTTTGAAAAAGACAAAGGTTGAGTGGAATTGAAGTGGAATTGTGGCTGGAATTGTGGCTGGAATCGTAATGGAATTGAAGTGGAATGGGAGTGGAATTGAAGTGGAATGGGAGTGGAATTGAGTGGAATTGAGTGGAATTGAGTGGAATTGAGTGGAATCACAGTCACAAGAAAACTGAAGACCAAAAATAGAAAATTTATCGAATTAGCTGTATATATTCTTTTACTCTTAAAATGATCCCATATCTGGGGAATCAAGAGAGGATCATCTTTGCTTTCAGGAGGAGAAAAGTATTGTCCAAGTTATGCTGAGTATGGGTTTGTGCTTTTAAATTCTTCAGAAGGGATAAACATGCCTCCAAATGACTTGCCAACAGGATATGGCTTTTCTTCACTAAATACTTGCTTTTCGCTAAATGAAAGACATAGTTTAGTTCCATAAATGTATACAATTTAAATCAAACAATTTACTACTAGCGATAATGATAATGATGAGAGCCACCGCGGGACACCATCTTTAAAATTGAAACTTTTTGAGGAACATCATGGATTCAAAAAAATTGACCAATTGAAGTCCAAACAAATGACCAATTGAGTTCAAAAAAATGACCAATTGTTTTTTAAAAACCGGCCAATGTTTTCAAAAAAGTATCCAAGTGAGGGTGGAAGCACTGTATAAAGCCTATTTATGCACGCACAAATACTTTAGGTACCTACAAGAAGCGTTTAGTAATACACACGGTACTTTGAGAGTTGATTTGGACAAAAAAGCGACTTGTAAAATTTGACCAAAATGTTTTTTTTTGTAAGGGAGACTTGCTCCAATTTTATTTTAAGTCCTTTAGACGTCAAAAGAGTGGAAGAAAAGACTGTGGTATTATAAGAACTAGACTAAGGAAAGGGAAATGAGCCTGTGGTAGAAGAAATTGAGAAAAGAATAAGAGTTTAAGAGAGCTTGATAGATACTTGAAATGGAGAGAACATCATGAGTAGTGAGAGAGGCACTGGAAAGGAAAGCGGAGGAGAGAATTTACGGTTCATAATCAAGGCGGGATTCATCTTGCAGCTTATTTGCTAAGCGGAAAACCGTCTTGGTTATAGTTTTGGAGAGGAATGGGTTTTCAGAAAAAACAGATTGCCAGTGAGCTTGCCAGAGGGCTAGAGCAGTGCATGCAAAGATTTGGAAGGTACTTAAGGAAGGAAAATGGAGGAGAGAAACACGAGGGATAACAACCCGAAGGAGGAGGACTTGACGTAGGAGATTGACCGAAGGTGCACGGATGTTGGGATTGATGTACTTGGAGAAGACATGAGACCAAACAGCATACTTGGTAGGGCAGAGGAAATAAAAGTGATCAAGGGTATCAATGGAAGTAATGAGATTTGAAGGACAGTGGATACAAAAGTTATTAGGAACTGTATGGGGCATAAGACGATGTAGGTGAAAACGGTTGTTGACTTTGTTGTGAAGCATCCTGTAAAAGACATTGCGAGCAGGGAGAGGGATCTTGAGTTTGACCAAAATGACCTTTCAACCAAAGGGTGCTACTCATAAAAATTGCCCATTTGACAATTTCTGTTCTTCTATTTGATGCTACAACACGAGAAATAGAGCTATCGACAAGCCTTGTCAGCTGTATTATGAGAATAGTAAGATATGAACAAAAAAACCTCAAAAACGTTGTTTTTCATGTCGGTGCAATATTTCACCAGCAATAATGTTATGTTCTTTACATCAATAGGCTCAGAAAGCAAAGATCTATGACTTTTGCTATTGCATCAAAGCCTGATTTTTTATGCAGCGGGATGAAGAATTGAATTTATATCACCTTAGGAAAAATGATACAGTATACATAGAATATGTATATTCTATTAATCTCATAGAAAAGCGTCAAAATAGATATTCAATGAGATTCATACAATTATCATACAGCGTCTGTTTTATGCAATGCTCATGCAATATCAATATTCCATATAGCTTATGTAATATGTGTGAGGCGTTCGAACAAGTGTTGCTGATGTGTCTAGACATTTTTTCCCAACTTCATTTCTCTCAGGCGTGACAAAAATATTGAACCAAGGCTTCAACATGTTTTCGTAGCGTGTGGTTACTTTTTTGAATTTTTTTTGCTTCTAATTAAAAATTTGATCAACTACTCAGACAAGAAGAGAATTTCAAAAAGAATTAATAAGAGAAAAAGAATGATCATCAAAGCATAGAGCAAGAGAAAGAAAATTGAACTTTGAACTACATAACCATCCTACAAAACATCCATCAATAATTATGCCTAACATTGCTCTCTTTAGGCTCAGACGTGCCATGTATTATTGTAAGTCTTACTCGTGAGCAATTGATGCATCGAGCGGTGCATAAATAAATACCTACTTACTAGTCAATATCTACTAAAAAGGACATCTTTTGCACTGATTACAGTATGAAATAAACTTTGGATGCAGATTTGAAGGCAATGCTCAAATCAACTCGTCTTTTTTTTTGTCTTAGTAAAGTCGCTTTCTTTTTGCTAGAATTATCTAGAAATGATCTCTCCTTATTTCGGTTGGTTCAGGCCTACATTGGGTCATTCCAAAAATTCTCAAAAAATGAATTTCCCTAGAAGCCATACCAATGGTACCATTCGATTCCTTGACTCAAAAGAGCATGTTTTAAATGGGAAAACGGGCTGTTTTGGTAATGTAGTGTCGAGTAATGCTCAATTAGAGATTGGCTCCTTTTAGCTGTGATTTGAACGTTTTTGCCCTTGATGTCATATAAAAAGTTCTAGCAATGGATCTTCCTAAACTATCTTATGCTATCTAGAGTGCCAAGGAATATACAAAAGCGAAAATAGGGTCGATTGATAATGAAAATATGGGGCGAATGAACGTAGGACATACAGGATGGCTTTGGCGCGAAGATTGAAAAAGGAACAACTCCGGTTCTTCATCCGGCCGCATCAGAAATCCGGCCTTTGCTGAGAACTACATGAAGACGCAGTTATTTAGCATTGGTGCATTAACAAATGCTGTAGGTGTTTGTTACTCGAGTGTATTGATGTAAAGAAAGCAACAAATCTGCTACTAAAATATTGAGCAAACAGGCGAAAATGTCTATGAGGTTTTTTTGCTCCTTGCATACCATTTTTATAGTACAACTGTTTAGCAAGCACATTGATACATTTTGAGTGTTTGAGCTTGTCAATAGCTCCGTTTTTCGTCTTGTAATGTCAAAAAGAAGATTGAAAGTTTCCAGAATGAATATTTTCGTGAATACCACCCTTTGGTCAAAAGGCCATTTTAACCAAAATCTTTCCATATCGCCTTTTTTTGTCCAAATCAACTCTAAAAGTATTATGGATGTCAGCAAACATGACCTGAATGCACTTAGCGTCTCTGTGCGTGTATAAACAAGCTTTACAATACCTTCATTCGCCCAAGTAAAGAAGAAGATGTGTATGCATCGTTGTCTATTTTCACTGCCGAAGCGTTTGTTTGCCTGGCGTCTCTGTGACATGAGCAATCCATGCACTAACAACCTTTATATTTACATGAAAGTGTCTTATTGAGAAGGGCATTTGGCTCATTGAACTGGTGAGTCAGGTGAGTCAGGTGAGTCTGGTGAGTCTGGTGAAGTGAATTCTAGTCGAGCGAACTTGATTCTGGTGCTAGTAAACTGCTTGATAATTATTCAGTTGAAATTCATTGCATAGGCGTATATTTGACAGTCGAGAATTTGCGTCTAAGATCAAAAGGCCGGGCAGTATCAATATCCTTTTCTTAGCGTATAATTGCAGGTTAATTTGCGCAAGAATAGCATTGAATTATAAACTCTTGTGAATGTGATTTACAAAGGATAATGCTTAATACGATAGATGCTTATTGCAACATATAAATCAATTTTTTTTTCGAATATTGTGGATCATATTAGTGGGTATACATTTATTCTTCTTTGTTTATTGGTTTGAGTAATCAGGTCTCTAGATATTATCAGAACAACAATTATCTGTAAATAATCTATAATCTTGTTTATTGATAACTTCCTCCTAATTCTTCCATATCACGATCTGAATAACCTAATAATGTCAAGACATACTTCAAACTCTTTTGGTTGATACGAGCTCTAGCTTGTTCTTGTACACGTGGTTTAGCATTAAAGGCAATACCTAAACCAGCCTTATTAAGCATCCATAAATCATTAGCACCATCACCAACAGCAATAACTTGGTTCAAAGTCAAGCCTTCTGCCTGTGCAATCACTTCTAACAATTCGGCTTTACGAATGCCATCCACAATAGGGCCAATGGTTTTACCAGTTAATGTAAGACCGTCAGAAGATACTTCAAGCTAAACAAGCATTTAAATACACTGACAGAGAAAACAATGATCTTACCTGATTGGCAAAGGCGTAATCTAACCCTAATTCTGCCTTGACATAAAGGGCTAAAGGCATAAAACCACCTACAAAAAAGAAAAAGAGTAAGTATCATTTATACTTTAGGATCAGATACATTACCACTAATAACAGCCAATTTGAAACCAAGTTTCTTTAAGGCACGACACAAGAAGCGAGCACCTTCTGTGAATGTCAAAATCTTTTTCACATTTTCAAGTACACCAACGCTTGTGCCATCCAACAAAGCAACACGTCTACGTAAGGATTCCTTGAAATCAATTTCACCATTCATGGCAGCTTCTGTAATAGCCTACAGAAAAAAAGTTTAATACATGCATTCTTTTTTCTCCATAAATACGTTACGGAAACTTGATCTACGACACCAGCATGTCGAGCGATTTCATCAATAACTTCTTGATAGATCAAAGTGGAGTCCATATCAAATACTACTAAACGCTTGTTCTTTCTAAATACATCATCACGTTGGAAAGCAATATCTGTTCCATGACTTGCTGATAAACCAATCAATTCTGTACGCAAAGCATCCATGTCAACACCACCAGGCACACTCAGACGCAAATCAGCGCAAGATAAGATATGGTTGTCTTTGTTCAAACGGGTCATCTTTTCAACTGAGATACGGTGCTTAAGTAATAAGTGTGTCCATTCGCTCAAGATAACTGTGTTAAGGCCATTCTGGTTCAAGATGGTGGCAGCATATTTGATTCTTTCAGAATACGGTGCTTCTTCAAGAGAGGAAGGGATATAGACAGGCTCGCTAGAAATACGCTTTTCTTTTTTGTCATGCTTGATAGTAGGTTCAGTGACTTGAGAATCAGGAATATCGTAAGTCAATGTAGCATCCCACTTCTGAGCAGCTTCAGCCAAATCACGGAATACGGCCACATTATCGGATTGAAGGGTAATCAAGACACCAAAGGTAACATTGTGGTACAGACGAGAAAGCATGAAATCGTCAATTTCACAAGGATGGCGTGCAAGGCAATCCAAAACAGCGCCAACAATATCTGTACCATGAGGACCAGCCAATGAGACCAACACTTTTTGGTTAGGGCCCACAAAGGCAGGAGGTAGAACAGAAGATGTATTTACATGAGCAGATCGGCTTCTGACCATAATAGGAGAACTGTTGCCGAATTCTAATTGGTGTTCTCGGCTAAGTTTATTCATTACGGAGCGTTTGAGTTTTGTGAGTTCTTCAGCCTTAACAAGAGATAATGCTGCCACACGTTGTAAATAAGGTTCTGATAATGCAAGGCCTGAGTGACGATCATTCTTTTTCAAGATTTTAGTAATGCCTGTATAATTCAAGAATACAAAACGTTCAAGCGTGATGATCTTCTTGAGTAATTCAGAAGGGTCTGCTGTTGAAGACTGGCTGGCTAGCGCTTTTGATTCTTGCTCAAAGAACTTATTGGCCTTGTTTACTTCAATATCCAATTTTTCAATAAAGATAACTTCGCATTTCTGTAACTGAGCTAAACGTTCGGATACTAGTTTAGCAAAGGGTGTGTTATTATCGTTGTTGTCCTTGAGTTTAATCGAATGAGAGTACACATCTGTTTTTAAAAATGATTTAAGTTGTGTGTAATCAATACAGTGTTCAGCATAATCGGCTGACAGTTGTGCTTTTCTCTCGGCCAGATAATTGCCAAACTTCATGCCAGGTTAAAGAAAAAAAAAAGAGAGAGAGAGAGAGAGAGAGTTAAAAAAAGATGCTCTTTGTATAGCAAATCAGACACAGTCCCATCAAATGAGTCAAGATGGGGCGGATCTTTAATTGGTAAACAAGAGTTGCGAGAAATGTAGTGCTACTTTGTCCATACATTGATTTCAATGATCCTGTTGACTAAGGTTGTCAGCCACAGAGGGATTACTGCCGACTTTATTTTGTGGTTTCGTTTTATTTTGAAATGCATGAAAAGATATGTGTTTTGATATTAAATTAGAATAAAGTGTGTTTTTTGTGTGTAAAGACTATAAAACAACGAGAAAGAAAGAGGGCAAAAGCAATATACAAGGCATACTAGATCGAAAGAAGTGTACTTGCAAAACTTCTTGGATTTTGATGCAAGTATATTTTGTTCTAAAGAGGTCATTCGGCTTAAAAGACAACTACTGTGATAGACTAAAGTTAAAAAGCATATTGCTTTCTTCTTTATCAATAGATTAATCATCCCAAGCAACAACAATAGAATTTATCCTGATAGAGCCCATTGATTGTAAAGCAACGTGACACCTAAAATTTTCAAGGGAAAAAAAACACGCACAGCAGTTTTTTGACGCGTCTTTTTTCTTTCACTTATCTTTTATAATTATGACTGAAGGAAACATTTATTCTGCAGTTTATTCAGGCGTACCAGTCTTTGAAATGATTGTCAAAGGTGTTGCTGTTATGCGCAGACGCACCGACGACTATATGAACGCAACACAAATACTTAAAGTAGCCGATATTGAAAAAGCAAAACGTACAAAGATACTCGAAAAAGAAGTGCTCGTAGGCGAACACGAGAAGGTACAAGGTGGATATGGCAAATATCAAGGCACTTGGTAACGCGTTGCGTTGTTGTTTCTTTTTTAATAACTTGTTTTGTAGGATCCCGTTTAACAAGAGTAAAGAATTAGCAGAAAGATATGGAGTTGTTCCAATTTTAGCTCCTTTGCTTAATTTTGAGCTGGATCCTGCGTCTATTCAAGAACGATCAGCTAATGAAACACATACTCACTCTTCTTCAAATACGTTTGTTGAACCAAAGCGTGAAGACGCACCTTCTCAACAACGCAATTATTCACCTTCTTTGGAAGATGCTCTTCCACCACATAAGAAGGCCAAGACAACGTCCAATGAACAAGAACTTTTTCAACCATCATCCAGCAGCAGCCAGCACACAACTAACGAGCCTACTTCTGCAGATCACAACCGTAGTGTCTTGATGTCTATATTTTTATCCGATAAACCTGATCAAATCAATGATTTTTTGAACCAATCGCACGGAAAAGACAATTTCAGTATTGATATGGTTATAGATGAACAAGGAAACACGGCCCTGCATTGGGCTACCTCGCTTGCTCGTATCAATACTGTAGAATTGCTCGCCTCTAAAGGTGCTAATATTGCCTGTACCAACTACGCAGGAGAAACACCTCTTATGCGTAGTGTCATGGTAACCAACAATTATGATGCACAGAGTTTCCCCAGAGTTTTTGATTTGCTTAAAGAGACGGCAACATTTACTGACAACAAGAAGCGTACAGTACTGCATCATGCTGCCTTGACTGGTAGTATTCAAGGACGTATCAATGCTGCTGTCTATTATATGGAAATTTTGGTCGCAAATGATCTATGCAAACCTGTCCTAAATACTCAGGACGCACTCGGTGATACTGCTCTTACCATCGCAGCAAGACTAGACGGTGCTGCTCTTGTAGATGCCTTAGTAAGAGCAGGTGCAGTTCAAAACACACAGAATCATGCTGGCCTTGATGTACAAGATTACAAAACTGAAAATAATGAGGTGAACATTCTTTTTTTTTTTTGATTTTTAATCTAACTCGTTATTTTCAAGGATTCCACAATGGAAGAAGCCTCAAATTCTCAATCCCAGCGTGTTTTTGCTACCTCATCTTTGTATTCTAAAAAGCCTTATGCTCCTAGCCAAAGAGGAAAAGAAATTGTGGCTAGTAAGATCTTGATATCAGAGATATTGTAATTTAATAATCCATCTAAATATATAGCTGTTCAAAAGATTGTAGATGCTCTAGATGAAGAATATGGTAGTCAGTTAACTGCTAAAGAACATGAATTACAGTCAGTTCAAGAGGATTTAAATGCTGTCACTCAAGAACTTGAAAAGACACGAAAGAGTCTAGAAGAACGCCAAGCTGAATCGCAGCGATTATCAGAAGCTCAGCAAAAGACTCGTAATCTTGAACACGCTCTCCAAACAGGCTGGCAGCGACTTGAAAGCCTTATGCAAGCTTCTAGCAAGCCCATGCCAACCCAAGCCGATCTTGAACAATTTGATGAGAACGAGGACATTGATGCTTACTTTAATATACCCGATTTGCAATTCTCAGACACAATAGATGAAGAAGAAAAGAAGCGTCAATTAAAAGAACATATTAAGCATATCAGAGCTAAAGTCAGGGCATATGAAGCCAATAATAATGCCCTTGATGATGAAATCAACGAGTTGGAGCATCAATTTACTGAGAAAGAAATGCAATGCAAGCGTCTGATTGCCGCTTGTTGTAATCTGCCTATTGACAAAATTGACGATTTGGTAGAACCATTAACATTGGCAATTGAAAGTGATCCTCCAGATCTTGATTTAGCTCGTGTGATTGGATTTATGGACAAGATTCGAAGACAAGGTGCCTTTACTGAACCACCGATTGTTACAAATCATACAAAGCCTACAAAGAACACTGTAGATTCGCCGCATTGAGCACTATGTATATGATATTAAAACATCCATGCTTAATTTGATTTTTTTTTTTTTTTTTTTTTTTTTGCTTTTGATTGAATATAAGGTAATAAACGTAACTACACTTTTTGTTTTCTCTAGTGCCATAGCTATTTTTGCAAATAATTTAGAAGCACTTTAATAAGAAAAAACTCTATTCGTTAGTTATAGAATAAATATAAAAGGATGCAAAGAAGTTCAAGTACCATTATGCAGCAAAAGCACAAGCCAGCTACTGTAATCAATCGGATGTAGTTTACCCGGCAGTAGGAATAAAGGGATTCCACGACGTCACATAAAGTTTACTATCCATTTCTTTCTTTTTCATTTATTTTATCTTAAGCAAAAAAAAAAAAAAACCATGAACTTTTCACCTTATTCACCCTCACCTGACGAAGACAGAACTTCACGTTTGCCACCTAAAAAAACACAACAACAAGCTTTGTTTAGTTCTTACCAAGCAGGTAACCCACAGTCGTTTGCTGAGCAAGGTTTTGGAGCAGGAAGTAGTAGTAGCGGCAGTGCAGCTGGAAACCAGACAATACGTGTTAACAAGTACGAGACATCATTGCCTATTCGTGTTGACGTTGAAGCAGCTCTAGCTTATGTTCTTGGTCCTGTAACAGGTAAGCCTTTTGCATAAATGATGTAAGCGACTAAAAGAGATAGGCTTATTATTATTGATACTCGAGAGACAAAACGATTATGTTCGATTTCATGCCTGGCAGGTAAAAAAAAAAGTGAACAATAATATGTTTAAATCGCTAATGTTTGTAGTCTTCGCTTACATTCTCATCCTTAATGTTTGCACAATTTGTGCTATTATTCATTTCATCCTTCTTATCTTGGGTTTTGTTCTTTTTCAACATATTTTTAATGATATATTTAACGTAAGTCTATAGACAAAGGCGAGTACGAGTACTTATATTTTATCTAGCTATAGGGCATATTTAGATGGTGTTTCACTAGAACGATACGAGGTTCCTTATTTCGGTATCATTGCCTCAGAATACGTTGATACTGAGTAGCCTATACACTATACATACTATATATTATATAAGTAACGCCTATACCTCTCCCTTTTTCTTAATTTCTAAATCATAAAAAAAAGATCTTTATTATTATTGATACAAGTTATTTTTTTTTCGCCAGAAACTATGGTGGAAGGAAAGGAAGGAGTACAATATGTACATGTATGAGTATTAGGTAATTTGAAGCACAGTTTTTGTATACATAGAATGAAATAATCATATGAAAATGGAAGGGAGACCAAAGTGAAGGAGATGAAAGATAGAAGCCATAAAAAGTATAGTATTTAATTTGTGTGAGTTGAACCTCGCGAAGAACCATCTTCATTAGAAGAAATAGTTGAAGTAGTTGACGTTGTGCCTCCACTACCTTTAGGGGCTCTGCTCTGAATCATACGGCGAGTTGCTTGTGCTATGTAAAACAATAAATAATCTTTTTTTTAAGGTTGTGTATTACATACCACGTTTGGCTGAAGCCTTTCTGTCTAGGTTTTCAATGACACTTTCAAGTCTAGAGACCCATTCATCTCTTTCTGAGTCAGAGCCAATATATAAAATATGGACAGTAGGTGCAGCAATAAAAGTTGTGTTGAGATTATCAACACCAGAAAAAGATGAAATGAGTTCAATACAGTGAGCAATACCGCCTGCTTCTTCTTTTGAAAGAGCTCGAACCCTAGCTCTTTCCAAAGTTAAATGACCCTTGTAATGCAAGCGGGTTACTTTTCCTTCAACTTTCGGTTTAGCAAAGACCAAAAGATCAGAAAATAATACATAGTGTCGTTCTTCGCCTAAGGACCGTGTATTCAACACTACTCGTGATAGCTGTCCCTGCATAACTAGTCTTCGTTCAGCCCTTACACTAAATGGGGCACCAATAAGTGCTTGGTGAATCATGAGTACTTGATCGACATTATCGGCATCTAAAAGCCTATATGAATGTTAAACAAAGTTGCGAGGCGGATTATCGCTTTTACTTTTCTTTAATGCTATTATGGAACTGCTGAATCCATTGTTTGCATTTTAATAGGCCATGATAATCAGGAAAAGTCTTGGAAGTTTCATCAGATAAGCGTGTGATAATGTCGACATAGCGATCAATACAGCCAATAGGCAATTGAATCAAAGAGAGTAAAGTGAAGCCTTTAAGTGCTTTATCTTTATGAGCCGACTATCTATTATGAATAACACTGTGATTTAACAGCTTATGTACTTACATCTATAAACTTCTTAAAAGGAGGATATCTCGTCAATCGTTCATACGTTGTTAGAGTAACATCATAATTGTTCAAATAAACACGGTAGCATTCTAGATTAGGAAACTATCTTGAAATTAATAATTTATGTTGTACTCTCTCTCCTCTCTCTTCTCCTTCATACGTTACCCAGGCTTGAAAAACGTCAGATATAATTTGAGTTGGTCCCCAAATACGCAGTCTATTAAGCGTGAGTCATTAGTAAAGACGTTGTTCTGTTACCTCTCTTGAAGACTCTTCAATGTCAATTGATGTGTATGTACCAATTCTTCAAAGTTGCCGAAAAGCCAGCGAAATTCACGCTCTGTACACACCATTTTTTTCATTCCAAGAAAACTAAAAGACGAATGATTGGTGTCTTTTCTCAATGGCAATAAAAACAACCGCATGACCAATTCTAAAGATTCTGTGTAAGCTTGTTCTGATGTTAAAAGGCTTTCTATCAAAATTTCTCGGTTCCGATGCGGATTCTCGTGGCCTGTGTGCAACAAAAGGTCAACAAATTGTACAAATAAACACAATAGGTTTACCGATTAGAGTAGTGTCTACATCCTCGAAATCCAAATTGTCAGTAATATCAAAGTCATCGATTGAGTCGCCGAGAAAGTCAATAGCAGAAGAGTTGGTGGTCGAGCTCTGTTGTTCGTCAATAGAAGAAAAAGTAGACGTGGTAGTAAGTCCACCTGTATATCGACTGGCATTTGAGCTTGCAATACTACTTCTAGGACTACTGTGCATCATGTTGGAGGAAGAAGATGTAACGGTGGATGCATTGTTGTTGCTATGAGTGCTGCTTTTTCGATGTGGCCGAGGTTGAAGGATATTGTTGGCGGTGCTGCTGGCAGGCTTGATACCAGAATTTAAGACACCATTGGTTGAAAAAGACATCTGCAAAATGAAAGAAATACAGATGCCTAAAAATAAAAAAAAAAAAGAAAGAATAGAAAAGAACCTAAATACATTTCATTTGTTTTGTCATTCTTAACGACAATCTAGTCCCAATTCGACAGATGCATACACAAGAAAAAAAATTGTTTAGATCCATTTGTATTCTGTTGCTGAGATTCAACATAGTGTGAGCTCTCGAAAAAGTTTAATCAAAAATGATTATTTGTGCAACTTGTAAACACTGCTGATTATCTTTTTTATTGGACAGAACCATGTAGACCGAGCTACTGTGTTACTCTCCCATTTTTTTTCTATTCATAGAGTGAGCTCTACTGTGTGTGTATGTGTATTTTGCTAAATTTGCATTTCCTATGAACGTGAAGCTTAGTATGACTTACGGAACTACCTGAAATAATCAGCTGATTTAATAATATGTAGAAATGAAACAACCATATGGTTAACTAAACAGGTAACAGAACTAGCTTGATAGTATTATCTAATTGTGCACAATTGCAAGTTGATAACAATAATCTGTTTGGACATTGGCACCAATCTGAGAATATTTTTTATTTCATTGGTAATGTAGTCTTGTCAATAACTTTTTCCTGAAAAGTTTATTTAGAGGGGTCTTTTTTATATTTCATTGGTTCGGATACTTGATCTTGGATTGACTCGCATAATGGTCACTATCACTTCTTAATCTAGAACAAAGGCGTTTTCAAGAGCACCCCCTTTTATTTACAGAGGATGCAATTGAACGCTTTTCTTCACACGATAGTAATATCAACTCAAAGTTAAAGATAGAGACGACTTATTAAAAATTGAGATTGCCCCTAATATATCCTTGTACATGCCATGGCAAATTCATGCTTGTGGCACAAGTGTTTGGACTTATTAATTTAGATTACTCTATGCTGTCCATGAGTAATCTGTTAGCATGAATGACTAAAATAGACCTGGCGCTTGTGGTACCTTAATACTGTTCATAATTTCGTGACATATATGTTTCTCTTGCTCATTACGTAAGTCACTTGATTAGAGTGATTGTATTATGTAATGTTTCTTACTCAGATAGTTTGTTCAAGTGGTAGAATTCTGACAAAAAGAAAAAAGAAACCCCTACGTCGTGTCACCCTCATGGCTTGATAAATACACATTTGTAACATTACAATACATTACATAATAAGATATCATTTGATACACAAAATAGAGTTATTCGATCAAGAATGAGAGGGTATATTGACTACAAGCGATCAATTCTGTGTATGTGTGTGAATGCGTGTATGTGTCCTGTTACTCATGCTTTATAGACTGTTGCACAACAGCAAGGTACAGTGCGACGGATTGATTCTGTCGGTCTAGGAAAAACAAATGTCGTTTTGCCAAAAACAATCATCGGTCAATGAAAAGCGATTGTCATAATGATGCTGGGGATCTTCGTGTAAGTAACTCTTTAAATGAAACTTTAGTACCAATGTTTACTTTGGATTGTTCATCTTTTCTTTTTTTTTTCTTTTTTTTTTTTTTACCTTGAACACACATATATACCTGATTATCATAGTTTTATTTATGACGAGTAAAGAAATTCGTCTATACAAGCTATCGTTCTTCAAGACTAATACATCTGTGCGAAGCTGAGAACATTTTGGAGAAGACATTAAAATGAACCAAGCATTATCTTCCCTTGTTGAGAATTGAAGCAAATAATACAGAAAAATAACACATTCCTAATAGGTCGATGTATCATTATACTTTAAGAATAGAAATCTGCTTAACGAAGATTACAAAAAGACATGTTTTTAGAGATAATTCTTCATTAGTGTTCAAGCCTTTGATTTACTCTTGCCATTCTTCAGTTACAATAATTCTTGGTTGTGATTTGCAGTGAGAATCTATAACAAATCTATGTTCTTTCACTGTAAGGCCGTTTATTATATGTAATTAGAAATGGAATTTGTAGTCGCTTTCACTCAATCAAGAAATATTTTGGTAGAAAATTGTCATGCTTCATCTTTTTAGTCTTTTCACCTTACTGAAGATTAGTGATTTTCATGTTGCTATTAATTACTATAATATGTATCCAGTTATTCGTTTGCGCGGAATAAAACTGTAGAAATTACCAGTGAATTTGCAGAGATACCTCGCAATAAAGTAAGTTAAAACTCTTAGAAACATCTAATTATTTTTCACATCTCCCTTAAATACTCACAACTGGCACCAAAAAGATGAAAGTCTGTTCTGAGCACATTGTCAATACTAGAAAAGAGCTTCACTTCACTTCAAAAAGCAATTATTAGTCGGATAAATGCAAATTCTCAGACTGCTTTACTAAGCACTTTATAATTATTATTATCTTTAAAAAAAATAACAGTTAGTTTTGATTCTTTTTTCATATTTGAGGACAATCAGTCAGATAAACCCTATCCTTTAAACTGTTTGGATATAGGCATTATTGAGCAAGCAAATATGCAGAAAAGTTGGAGAAGGTGGCTCGAGTCTAGATCAGCATTGTTGTTCGATAACAAGGAACTCTATTGATGCTCAAGAACGTCTTGTATTATCTGGTTTTAAATATTACGCTTTTAAAATGATGTGATACAAGTCTGAGACATCGTTTGTACTTGGCATTGCATGCAGGTAGTCTGATCACCTTTCTCCGACACAGAGTTCTCGTTTATACTTTATGGGCCCCGTTTCCTTTTATCATTAGGAGGGCCACTTCACAAAGTAGCAACCAAAGAACAAGTCAGAGTGAAGAGCAATACACAAAAAAAAGGAAAAAATGAAACGAACAGGTGTTCCGAGTTTGGTAGGACCACTAGCCATGTAAATGCTTGATTTGTATTTATGACTACTCAGGACCTAACATGTCTAAACGTTTTTCATTTCTTTTCTCCCTTGAGATTTATGTTAATTCCAGGAATAAAGTGAGAATTGAATAATCATACAAACTAATGCAAGTTAAAAACACAATTGTAATCACTCACGTTTTTTTATTAATATTAGAAAGAGCAGTGCCGGTTGTGCCAAATGGCGGTGCTCAAAAGGAATATGGACGACTTTGTGACACTTCAGCCAGCGGCTTTACTACTCCCAAATAATGGTTATGTAAAGGCGTGTCGTGAGGAGGACTTTGTGCTTTCCAAAAAAAAAAAAAAATAAGCTTATTAAAAAGCATTTTCCTTATGATATATAGACTTTTTTCTCTCATCTAACTTACAAACACGTTTGTTTGATGGTCGTGTAATAAACAGCAATCAAAAGCTTGTCTGTTGTTCTAAGTCTAATCAATTGATGAAATATACTTTAACCGACTGCATATATTGATTAAATTATTGAATGTAAATCAAAAAGTTGCAATGGCAAAATTCAATTTTTTATCAGGGAAAATGTCTTCCCATACAAACTCAAATTCCTCTGCTGTGACGATTAATTTATCATCATAGGGTAGACTTACTTTTAGATAATCTCTCCTTCCAAATGGAAAGTTGTGAAAAAGTTAAATGCTTTTTGAAAATAATAATAGAAGCTTGGAAAGCCTTTACCAAACAAAATCTATGCATAGGAAAAGAACTCTCCAAGCTTATAAGAAGGAAAAGTCTGGTCGATCAAAGGTGTGTCTTGAAAGGGGTGTGTCTAAACCCAAATTCAAAAGACGTAGTGGATTAGAATTGGACCATTTTACTCTTTTTCTTTCTTTCCAAACTATAAAAAGGTAATAATCAACTAACAATTCATAAACTGATACTGTAGTAGCATGGTTTCAGACGTTCAACTTTCTCTTATTGCTAATACACTTGGTGTTGTTACCATGGTCTTGATTGTCGCCTACCACTACATTTCTGTCAACGACAAGTCCAAGTCTTTATAAGCTCGCCTTTATATACCAACATACTTGATCAATAAACGTACTTTATTTACAATTTTAATTCGCGTTTTAATTCGAGGAACCAGCCAACAGCTTCTGTTTTTCTCATGTCTGAAATACCAGAACCACTTACACTCTCAAACACGAGCTTCATAGTAGCCTTTTGCATCACCTTGGTCTCTTGACCCAATATCAATCGTCTTAGTTGATCCAAAATAGAAGGGAAAAAAGGACCCAATGATAGAGGCTTCAATAGATCAATAAGGGCAGTTGTATATTGGTTTTTGAGCACAATGTCAGAGTCAATTGAATCAATCTTCTGAATCAGTTGATTCGTGGTAAGCCAAGCCAACGCATCGTCCATGCCACAAAGTGCTTGAATTAATGTTGTAAACCCAAAGCGAAATTGATCCAAATTCATTGGCTCGGGAAAGTTCTATTTTGGATATCAATATTCAGCACAAATAAGTGATAGACTTACATCAATTAATATCTTGGCATAAACAGCAGCTAATTCTCGAGAAATAGGCTTTTCAACAAGAAAAGCACTAATCACTACTGTGTGTGCACTTTCATACAATTCTCTGTTTTCAATACGCTTCCATTTAAGAACAGGATAGATAACTGGTAAAATATCATTCTCCAAGACAGTATCATCAACATTCTTCATGACTTGTTCAACTAAATCAGTGAAGAAAAGGAGACGAGATTGCTTAACCATGGATAGTAGCTCAATCGAATGCACATCGTTATACACAAATTGAGAGGGTGCTATAGACATCAGAGATTGTTTGTTTTCCCTGTGGCTTACCATATTCTTTAAACGCAAGTGACAAGAGTCTATTTAATTGGCAGCGATGGTCTTCTAGTAGTAAATAACCAACGGCATTTGTCAAAGTTTCTTGATACGCTTGTCGACCTGCTCCTTCACCCAAATGTTGAGTAATGAAATTCAAGTTGGAATAAATAGAAATGGTATGTTGAGCAGCATTGGGTATTTGAATCAAGCCTTGTCCATCAACAGCAACTGCTTTTAGTACCACAGTGTTAGCAAATGCAAAACTTTTAAAATAGGTCCAGACTGCATTCTCCAAGTCTTTATAGTTTTTAGATTCTTCAGGTGTCATAGATACTTCTGCAGTACTTATGATATAGCGATCCCAATCAAAGAATATATTGTAAGAAATCCCCTCAAGGCGATTTAGGATAAAAGATACGTATTCTAGATGCTGCTTAGTGGATGCAACTTCAATAAGTTTGGCTAATGCTCGAGAAATACGACCAATGTCTTTAAAAAGGGGTTGGCTAATGAGGGTCTGCACTTCTTTTGTCATTGTAGGAGTGTTTGAAAGTTTTTGGATTAGATTGCCATTGTTGAATGTATGACTACTTGTAATTAAAGTGTTGTTAAGATGCTTGAGAAGTGATAAAACATCTAGCTTTTTAAGTTTCTTTGATGACATTTGAGTGATGCACCTCGCGGCAAAGAAAGATATGTCATCTAATAATGTTTAGGTATTGAATAACAGTCTCTTCATATTCACCTTGATATTTGACACTGTCTTTCGTTTCTATGACTTGATCCAATTGGCTTATAAACGCTTGCTCCATTTCTTCAAGCATATCATTTACTTTTTTTGATTTGACGCCTTGATTGAATTGTAGCATACGAACCGCACCAGCAGAAACAGCTAAACAAGCTAACTTCTCTTGGGATTTAGTGATAGTTTGCTTTATCATCCCAATCAATGTTGTTAAATCAGCTTCAGCACGACTCTCTGGCTTTTCTTTTGATCTGATATCTACTACATGCTCTATAGCTGTCATAACTGCATAATATCCATGATGAGCAGAGGCAAACTGAAAATATGCATTGAGTAGTCTTTGACAGGATTCAATTTCAAAATCATTCAAGCAATTTGTTCGCGCTAATGCATGTGCAACACCTGCATCCAATGCTTCTGCCATAGTTGTATTTCGCTCGTGATCATTGATATGAGCATAGCGCTCAATCACTTGAGACATGCCCTGTAGTAATTTCGGATCCTCTGTTTTGCCTACAAGTGATACCCATCCAATCCAAGCGTCTTTTTGAACAGGCAAGTATTGATTGTCTGTCATGAGTAGCAAACTGAGCAAAGTGTCCATTACCATTTGAAAGTGTCTATCACTCATAGTCGGGTATCTACGTAACCAGCTTGAAAACAAGATAATAATGGATCCAAGACCCTTTAAATGCAAATGCTGAGAAAAATATCTATCTTTGAGTGCAATGGCTGTATCGAGAAACTGAAGCGTAAACCATGATACAGGCAAATCATTGCTATATTTCGAGAGTTGAGACAAGTTTTCTATTATCTAAAAACATTGTATTTATGATGAGTCATTGTGTATAGGTTGGCTTTCTTACTTGTTCCTCATTCAAAGTGGAATACTGAAGTACATTATGATAAGCAGTGGAGAGTGTTCTTGCTAATTCTTGCAAGTTCGCGTCTGTTGCTTGTGACATATGAAGGGAAAGGAGGTATCGTGGTAAAATTCACAAAGAGAAAAAGTATATATGGATTTCAAATTACAAAACATGTCGGTTCTTTAAACGCTGACAAGAAGGGTGTGATTGGCCATAGTCGCTAACAGTTAAATGCATTACAAGATCTACAAGTAAATCACCTTATAGCAACTGGAATCGAGTATTTAGTACTGGAAGTACTTAAATATATATATATATATATAGTAAATGTTGTAGCTACCTCCCATATGATCCTACAATTCAAGCCACTGCAGACATACCACAGTTTGCAAATATTCCTTTCATTTAAACTAAAATTCACTTCACCAGACTCACCTGACTCACCTGACTCACCTGACTCACCAGTTCAATGAGCCAAATGCCCTTCTCAATAAGACACTTTCATGTAAATATAAAGGTTGTTAGTGCATGGATTGCTCATGTCACAGAGACGCCAGGCAAACAAACGCTTCGGCAGTGAAAATAGACAACGATGCATACACATCTTCTTCTTTACTTGGGCGAATGAAGGTATTGTAAAGCTTGTTTATACACGCACAGAGACGCTAAGTGCATTCAGGTCATGTTTGCTGACATCCATAATACTTTTAGAGTTGATTTGGACAAAAAAAGGCGATATGGAAAGATTTTGGTTAAAATGGCCTTTTGACCAAAGGGTGGTATTCACGAAAATATTCATTCTGGAAACTTTCAATCTTCTTTTTGACATTACAAGACGAAAAACGGAGCTATTGACAAGCTCAAACACTCAAAATGTATCAATGTGCTTGCTAAACAGTTGTACTATAAAAATGGTATGCAAGGAGCAAAAAAACCTCATAGACATTTTCGCCTGTTTGCTCAATATTTTAGTAGCAGATTTGTTGCTTTCTTTACATCAATACACTCGAGTAACAAACACCTACAGCATTTGTTAATGCACCAATGCTAAATAACTGCGTCTTCATGTAGTTCTCAGCAAAGGCCGGATTTCTGATGCGGCCGGATGAAGAACCGGAGTTGTTCCTTTTTCAATCTTCGCGCCAAAGCCATCCTGTATGTCCTACGTTCATTCGCCCCATATTTTCATTATCAATCGACCCTATTTTCGCTTTTGTATATTCCTTGGCACTCTAGATAGCATAAGATAGTTTAGGAAGATCCATTGCTAGAACTTTTTATATGACATCAAGGGCAAAAACGTTCAAATCACAGCTAAAAGGAGCCAATCTCTAATTGAGCATTACTCGACACTACATTACCAAAACAGCCCGTTTTCCCATTTAAAACATGCTCTTTTGAGTCAAGGAATCGAATGGTACCATTGGTATGGCTTCTAGGGAAATTCATTTTTTGAGAATTTTTGGAATGACCCAATGTAGGCCTGAACCAACCGAAATAAGGAGAGATCATTTCTAGATAATTCTAGCAAAAAGAAAGCGACTTTACTAAGACAAAAAAAAAGACGAGTTGATTTGAGCATCCAAAGTTTATTTCATACTGTGATCAATGCAAAAGATGTCCTTTTTAGTAGATATTGACTAGTAAATAGTTACTTATTCTCACACCATTAGATGTGCACAATGTAAGTAAGTAAGATGTACTATAATGCATGAAACTCTTGAGGTTAAAAAGAGTAACTTTGAGCACAACTAACGATAAATGCCTTGTACAGTCGACGAAAAAAGGTTGGCCCAATAAAATGTCATTCAATCCTAAAAAAAAGTAGCCAATTTCTATTAATACCATGACTAGAATGACTTTCTTGAGTCATTATCGATAGTGAAAATTTTATAAAAGCTGAAAAGATACGTATGGACACTAAAGGGTCCGGTTGATGCACTTCCAAAGACACCGTTAACAACAATATTGTCTATTTAAGATCCAACGCATTTTACAGAAGTTTGTAATTGATGAGAGGTTATGGGGACGACAAAAATAAGAATGATAGCAAAAACAAATATTTTTTATTCATTTTTTGGCACGAAAGTAGGCTGCTTTTGCGCTATCCATCTTGGTGTATTTTTTGAATAGTCCTTTTTCTTTTGCAAGTTCAAAGCACTTGTTCCAGTCCATATCTTTACCTTTTTCTTTGCGGTAAGAGTCAACAAATTGCCAATCACGATTTATTTTCTGAACATGAACAACTGAACTAGCAGTAGGTTCGTTTGTCGCGTCAGAAGAATAAGGGCTGAGCTTGTGTTTCTTTTTGAAATCATTAATGAACTTAATACCGCTATCAAGGCAATCGATAGTACGTTTGCGAGCGGCGTCATCAGAAACATCTTCAGCTAATAACCTCTTAGCCATAGCTAATTGGTTATACGATTCATTGCAAACTTCTTCCAAAGCATCATCTTTGTCTTTATCAGCATCGAGTTCACCTTCAAATATGCGCTTTGCAATACTGTAAAGAAGTTGAACAGTAGCATCATCATGTCTTTTGATATGAAGCAAAGAAGTCTTTTGTTCAACAAAGAAATGTGCAAGAGCAACAACTGGTTCCAAAGGAGTTTCATCTTCGAAGTTCAGGATTGATTCTTTGTTAATCAAAAGACAAGACTTAGCCCAACCATGTGAAGGCAATTCCTTCATAAAAGATATGCGATCAGAAACAGAACTCATTTCAAGAAGTTCATTGGAAGTATAGTGAACACAGATAGCTATCACGATTGGTGACACGGAGTATTGCTCCCAAACTGATAAAGAATACTTCATGAGTCTTCTATAGAATTTCATGTTTGCGGTGTGTTGTACTTCGATCAAGATTGGAGGAAAATCCTTAAGCTCTTTTTTCTGGATCGGGCAGTAAAGAACATCTGACTTCGTATAGTTTGGCCATTCTGTTGGTTTGGTAATATACTTGTCTCTTGCAGCTTCGCCTAAATAAGTTGATAGTAGTTAATGATTATTCAATTTCCACGGTTATACTTACCAACAACTTTTGTAACAATGATGTTTATTACGTGATCGTCATCTAGAATCCATTTGCTCATTAGGTCAGTGCCAGGGGAATATTTCTTAGATAAAGTAAAAGACCAAAGATTTTCTGAGTCAGGTAACATGGGGAGGTAACAGTTTGAGGTAACAATACAAGGTAAAAGAGGTAACAGAATTCGTTACCTCACAATAGCCCAGCAGTAACAAGGTCCGTTACCTCATAATAACTCAGCGGTAACAAAATTCGTGACATCATAATAGTCCAGCGGTAACAAAATCCGTTACCTCACAATAACTCAGCGGTAACTAAAAATAAAAAAAATTCAAGGTCGAAATAAATTTCTCTCAAGAATGTATTGAGACCTTCGAACATAGAACAGTAAACATAAATTGCTGTGATCTTCTTAGTTTTATTCGATAAATATGTGTAAGTAAAATATATAGGTCCAGATTAAAATCAAGTATAAATATGTGAAAGTAATGTTATTTGTTCTTTGATCTTCTTTTTATTGCTCGCTTTTCATAGTAAATTCCGAAACATCATTAATCATATTCAAATGGCAGTACCAAACAGTGATATTTTAACAGCCTTACAACAGCAAATGGCTGCACAACAAGCAATGATTGAGCAAATCATGCAAAATCAAGAACTCCAGAATCAACAACAGTAATAACAAAGCCAACAGGAACAAGACATAGAAGCAGAAGACCCACTTTTCAACACCCAACAACAAGTACATTCTTTTGAGACACAACCCCATCATGATTGGAATCCTTCTCGAAAATTATCGCAACTATTGGTCCAGGAATGTCTGACAACCAACGTAAGCAATTGATTGAAAAATATCCTGCCATCCAAGGAGTCAATTATCAACCACCCGCTACCATGCCGGAAGCATATGCCAGAATGAGTTATGATCAAAAAAGGGAAGACAAAATGCTCAAGCACCATCAATATGTTACTTCAGCAATATTCAGGCCTTTGGATATCTTGGCACATGAGATCAGCTCTGAAATTGATAATCCAAACGTTCACAGATATTTGCAAATCATCAATGATATTAGACATTTAGTTTTGCATGCTAATTACGATTTGACAGACTCTAGAAAAAACATTGCACTCAAGGCAATCAATCCAAACTTTAGATTATCTACTGCAAACAATACAGACTATATTATGGCACAAGATGAGTTTCATAACTTGATAAATAATCAATTCAGTATAGCAAAGGCCTTGCAAGCAGCTCAAAAGTTCAACAAGAAGTCTTTTTCTGGCAACCGTGTCGAAACACAGTCGTTGGTTCGGCGTTCCCAACTTCAGCCCAGCCAAACGGCCTCTGTTCAACACAAGCCCAATTACAGCAACTACAACAACCACAATTCAACAAAATCAACAGCACCTCAGAAATCATTCAACAAACAACAGTACAGCAACAGCCGCTCTTACAACAAGAACAACAACAACAACCAGTAGGGGGCAGGCTAAGCCAGTACTATTTAGAGTGGACCCAGCTTTCAAACAGTTTCTGGCTCAACAGCATAATAAAAAACGGGTACAAAATACCATTCCACACACCTCCTCCACTCACTACAATTCCAAAATCAACAAAACCGTCAACACCTCAGCAAGAACAACTTCTAGATCAAACAATTCAAGAACTTCAACAGAAAGCAGCAATAGAACTAGTGAACCCAGCAACACCAGGCTACTACAGCTCAATCTTTGTAATACCCAAGAAGGACAAAGGCCTGAGGCCAGTCTTCAACCTCAAAGTCTTAAATCGATATGTCTCACCACCGCACTTCAAAATGGAGACATTGAAGGAGGTATCTCTTTTGATCAAACCAAACGATTATATGACCTCTATAGATCTTGCGGATGCCTTTCTACACATACCGGTCCATCCAGCATTCAGAAAATACCTCAGATTCCAGTACAAAGGACAGGTATTTCAATACTGCACAACACCTTTTGGATTGGCAATGGTCCCTTGGTTATTCACAAAAATTTGCAGACCAATTTTAAACTGGGCCAGACAGCAAGGGATCAGAATCAGCGC